TGTTTGCTCCTCTGCTTCTTGTTCTTCTATTGCTTCCCTTTGGATCACATTTTTTTAAACTTAGGATTCTATTTTATTTTATCTTTGGATTTTCAGTGGTTGTTCTAGGAATTAAAATATACATTCTTGATCTTTCACAGTCTACTTAGATTTAATTTTATACTATCTCATATAAAATTGGAAACCCTTGCAACTGTGAAAATCCATTTGCCACCATCTCTATTATTTATGCTATAAAGTCATATGGACGACACCTACACATATTACATTATAAACATAAGACAATGTTAAAATTTTTTGCTTTAATGGGTCCTGTGTATGTTAAAGATCTTATGATGAAAAAATAGTCTTTTATATTTACAATTTCCAATATTTTTTTCATTCCTTCTTGAAGACTTAAGATTCCGTCTGGTGTTATGTCACTTTAGCCTGAACAACTTCCTTTAGCATTTCTGTGGTGTAGGTCTGCTGACAATAAATGCTCTTAGTTTCCCTCTATCTGAAAGTGTTCTTTATTTGCCTTTACTCACAAAGTATATTTTCACTATATATAGAATTCTGGACTAACAGTTTTTTGCTTTTTCCTCCCCTCCTTTGTACTTTAAAAATATCATTTCACTTTTTCTGACCTTTATAAATTCTGTTGAGGGGTCAGTGTTCATTTAAATCATTGTTCCACCAAAGACACTGTTCCATTTTTCTCTGGCTACTATCAAGAGTCTCTCTTTATTGTTGGTGCTCAGCAGTTGGAATATGATGTGCCTATGCACAATTTTCTTCAAATGTATCCTATTTGGGGTTCATTGCATTTATTTATCTATGCATTAATGTATTTCACCAAATTTGAAATTTTGGGCCCATTTTGTCTTCAAATATTTTTTCTGTTTCATTCTTTTTCTCTCCTTCTTCTGAGACTCTAATTACACATATGTTAGACATTTTAATTTTTGTTACACAGGTCCCTGAGTCTCTGTTTATTTTTTCTATTCAGTTGTTTTAAGTCTTTTTCTTCTTTCTGTTCCTCCAAAAGATAATTTCTATAGCTCTATCTTTAAGTTCACTGACACTTTCCTCTGATACTTTCAATTGCTATAAGTATACTCAATGAGTTTTTATTTCAAATATTGTATTTTTCAATTTCAGAATTTCTATTTGGTTCTTTTTTGCAGTTTCTGTTTACTACCTTCTTATTCATCATGAGCTTATTTTCCTATTATTGGTGGAGCATGGTTATAATAGCCACTTTAAAAATCTTTAATTCCCACATCTGGCTCATCTGGTAACTGGTCTCAGATGACTGCCTTTTGTCTTCAGAATGAGTCACACTTTATTGGATTTTCAACTATCATGCAATTTGGGGTTGTATGATATGCATGTATGGATGTTATGGTATGAAGAGTTTGAATCCTGTTATAGTTTTCTAAAGGGTATTGATTTATTTATTTTAGCAGGCAATTAGTTATACTCAAATTTAAAACTATCTCTTCAATGGCAGCTCAAACTTCAGTTTAGTTCTTTTATCTTTGTGCTAATCTGTGTCTGCTCCATGAAAGAATAGATCCATGACAGGTACCTCAAAATTACATGACGTGATCTCACTTGGAATTGAATCAAGTGCATACTCATCTATAATTCTTAAGTCTTCTTAATACAATGACTTAATTATTATGAAATGTTCTTCTTTATCTCTGGTAACTTTTAGTCTGAAAGTTTAGTTTGTCTCATATTAATACAATTCAGTTGTGAGCCAGAAATGTGGGTAGTGTTTATATACTGATTTGGGAGCTTCCCCTCTCTGCCTCTCTTCTTTCCAAGATTCTAAATTCATTTTCCTGTGGCTATGATTGCCCTGAACTCTGTTGGGTTTCCAAACCAATAGCACTGTGAGTTTTCTATTGGAGACTGGTCACCCCAAGTGACATTAATTTCAGCCTGCTCTTAGTCTAAAAGTTGTAAAATGGGACACTCACTCTGGACTGATCTGTGCCTCCAAGTTTTGAATTTCAGCTCCTCTCCAGAAACTGTCTGCTTATTTTTACTCTCTAGTGCTTCCAGGTAATTTCCTTTTTCTTTTCTCTTTCTTCTGGTCTTTTGGTACTTTTTGGCACTTACTGGACCTGTGAGAACGCCAGGTCCAGTAGAACTTACTTAGCCATACTGGAAATAGAAACAAGTAAAAACATTTAGGAAATATTCCTTGGCATTTCCTAACCTCTCCTCAAAATACTTAACCTCCATTTGCTTCCTCATTTAATGATATTTGATTTTATTTTCAAGTAGAAACAGAACTCAGACTCAGAACTTCCTTGATCATCTTGCCAAGTACAAGAGGAGACTTGGAATGAAAACAGCGTAAAGTTAAATCATAGAATGATAGAACATCAACCAATTCTAGCTCTTAGAGTGGTAGCATTAGATTTCAAAGCAATGAGGCTTGTACAGAATCATGACTACCAGTGATTATCTACATGGTATTTTGCCACGTTATTTTACCTTATTTCTTTGGTCTCAGAGATCTCTAAATCCTGCCTCATTGAAAACTGCAATAGATAATATCCCAAGAGAAATAAAATATTGAAAATTCTAAAATGCCAACACAGAGTTGTTAAGTACATATTTCCTTCTAATAATAATCATAATGGCTTCCACTACTTGAATGCTTCTGTATGTCAGCCATCTTGCTAACCACTTTACATAAATTGTCAGTTAATCCTTCATAACTATTCTTTGCAGCAGTTCCCATAATTAGTTTCATTTTATGGAAGATGAAACCAGAGTTCTGAGAGGTTAAGTTTACTAAGATCACACAGCCAACAGTAGAACTCTGAGTTAGTCTTTGTAAAGAGAAGAAATAGCAAAGGAGTTTTGGAGACTTTAGGCACATATTCTTTACTATCAGGAGGGAAAATGGAAGTCTTTCTAAGCAAAGAGTAAGTAGAGTTTCTAAAACTTAAGATAGTCTACAGTACTTTTTTTCTTTTTATCAGTCATTATTAATATTAAAATGCTACCCTTCCAAAAATAATATATTTTATATTGACAGCTTTTATGTTTAAAAAGAGCTTTCTGGCTGGGCATGATGGCTTATGCCTGTAGTCTCAACACTTTGGGAGGCTGAGGTGAGTGGATCACTTGAGGTTAGGAGTTTGAGACCAGCCTGGCCAACATGGTGAAACCCCATAACTACAAAAAATACAAAAAATAACTGGGCGTGGTGGCAGGTACCTTTAATCCCAGCTACTTGGGAGGCTGAGGCAGGAGAATCACTTGAATCTGGGAGGCAGAGGTTGCAATGAGCTGAGATCCCACCACTGTGTTCCACCAGGGGCAACAGGGTAAGACTCCATCTCAAAAAAAAAAAAAAAAGCCTTCCTTCAGGGCTTGAAACACTAATCAAAACAGAAAGAAAAGGATCAAATAATTATATGCAAAGACTCATAGTGAAAAGGCATATAATACCAGTGCTCCATTTCGCCTCATTCCATTTACTGCCTTTAAACCTTCTTTGCTTTCCAGGTAAACCATCTAAACATGCAGGTGACCCGCCAGAGAAAAATCAGGCACATTAGGAAGCAAAGATGCCTGCCTCATCCCACAACAAGATGCAGCAATGTCTCACAGTTCTACAACTCTAGGAGCGATCCTCCCCAACTCTGCAAATTTTGCATAAGCCATGGGTTTCAAGTGACTGTGGAATGCAAGGGAAAGAAAGGTGGCACGAAGGATAAGCAGGCTGACATTGTAAATGGATACAGGAAACGGGGTCTTACCTGGAAGCAGGAAAAGGAGCATAGTATCTTTGTGTTCTGGCACATAGGATTATTCAGTATACATACTTATTATACATGCTAAACTGTCTGAGACCTAGGAATGGGAGTTATTGTTAAAGGAATAAAGATGAGATGAAGTGACAGAAAAGGAGAGGAGTGAATACGAGTCCTAGGGAGGGGTTACAGGAGCACAGTCCCCTGGCAACATGCTAAAGAGATTATCGGATTAGTGCATTGCTCCTACTTTAGTGCTATTATTATTATTATTATTTTGGTTTTGTGTGTGTGTGGCAGGGTCTCACTCTGTTACCCAGGCTGGAGTGCAATGGCACGATCTTGGCTCACTGCAACCTCCGCCTCCTGGGTAATTGGGATTATAGCGATTCTCCTGCCTCAGCCTCCCAAGTGGCTGGAATTACAGGCACCCAACACCACACCTGATTAATTTTTGTATGGTTGGTAGAGACGGGGTTTCACCATGTTGGTCAGGCTGGCCTCGAACTGCTGACCTCAAGTGATCCACCCACCTGGGCCTCCTAAAGTGACAGGATTACAGGCCCTTTGCTGCTATTTTAAAAAATACATATTCAACATATCCAGTGAAATCATTCAAAGATACATACAGACAAGTGATGATTTTACCCTAACTTCACGTCTCTTTGTAAGACCTCCCCTTCACTGTCTGTCCCAGCATATGCCGCTAGGACTTCCTCTGACCAAAAACAATACCTAATGCCATTGGAAAATCTTTCTCATAACAGCCTCCTCTCACTGTTCCTCATTTCACTTCCATTCCACTCGAGTTCTCAAAGCCAGGCAAAGCATAACAACTTGACTGTGTAACTGTTTAACCTTACTTTTTACACATCAAAATTATTAAATATGTGTAACTGTCTGCTGGGGGGAGGATAATATAATGGCATGTCAATCTGGTAACAGGTAAGCTACATTTCATGGAAAAGAAAGGTAATGCTTTCTTCAGAAAGTGAAGTCATCACTCTTTTATTTAACTGACATAATATTTATACCCCAATTTTTTAAATGGCAGCTACAAATAGAAGTTGAAAGAGGGTAAATTCTCCAAGGGAATCTAGCCCTGAAATTTTACCATTTTAAAAGTTCTATTTTACATGTGCATAGGAACATTACTGCCATTATAAGGATGCCCATAGCAGGTCAATTATTTCAAACTCTTTGAAAAGAAAAAAATCGAAATTAAGTAAACCCTACCTTTCAGAAGACTGCTACGTCTTCAGAGTCCTCAGGAGGCAGGATGCACAGAGCTTTTCTGGAGGGTCTAAGCAGGCAGGTATTCCCCGGATACCTACGCCAAGAACAAGAAATTCAGATGATTATTTCAGCAGCGATCCAGATGGCTCTAGGTACAATTTCATTAGGAACATTCACCATGAATATTGAGCATTTCCACATAGGTTTGTTAAAAGGGCAGAATAAAGGTACACATGTGATTTTTGTAGGCATCATCGTTAGTCTGCACATGGGAGATTGTGGCTCAAAGGGGTATAAGTGGTTCATACATGATCACACAAGAAAAGTGGCAGAACCTTGCCTTAATTATTCATTCCTGATTTGTAGTCCAGGGTTGTTTTAGCTGCATCATTTGACCCTCCTCAAGAACTGACAAGTCCTGGCACTGAGGCTTTCCATTTTGCAAAAGGATGAGGCTGACCCATGAGTCTGTCAGGAAGAGTGTCTGGTTTTCTGGTGATCTTTGCCAAGTCATCTGTCTGAAGAGTCATGTGTGGGCCACTTTACTCTCCCTTGAAACACTGGAGTCCACAAAAATCTGAAGGAATCTGACAGGGAAAGGGACATGGGTTTTTTGTTTGCTTGTTTGTTTGTTCCCCTGGCCTGAGTTTGAATCCTAGTAATGGGTTCACGATTTCTGTGTCCTAGGTAGTCACTCAACTTCATTGAGCCTCACTTTCCATCTCTATCAAATGGGTATAATAATATTTGAAGGGTACATTTATGAAGAGGATGGTGTTTTCCTAAATGAGAATAAAGAACCAAGCACAGTTTCTGTCACATGTTAGATGCGAGGGCGAAGTGAAAGCCCCATGACCCACCTTACTTGCAGGGATAACTCCAAAGTGGACTAGTGACAGGGAGGCCATTGAGACCTCACTGCCCATAAATCACTCAATGACAATGCACTAATCCCCACACTGGTTGGCAACTCACTGCTCTGACCTCTACCTCTGGGTTTCCTTCATGTACCTTTCTTTGAAATAAAAATATCATAAACACCAATTCATTCCCTAGGATCTCATTTAAATGTTGTTTCCTTTTTTTAATCTAATAATTTTGGTCCACATCATGTTACACAGCCAGCTCAATGTAGTAATTGAAAGCAGATAACTGTTCATTTAACAACTATTTATTCAGATTCTACTAAGGTGTCAGGCACTATTCTCTATAGCAGTGAACATGATCTGGCCGTCATGCTCTCTACCTTCTGGTAGAGGAGACAGACAAACAAAATGCCTATGTAAAATACATGGTTGGTTAAACAGTGCTAAGGACTCTGGAGAAACACATCATAGGAAGGGGGATGGCGAGTATTATGGGTTGAATTCTGTTACCCCAACCCCTCCCCATCAGAAACAAAGATATGTTGAAGTCCTAACCCTCAGTACTGAGAATGTGACCTTATTTGGTAATAGGATTGATACAGATATAATTATTTAAGTTAAGATGAAGTCGTACTGGAGTAGGGTGGGCGGGCCTCTAATCTAATATGACGATATATGGGGATGACCACGTGAACACACAAAGACACGGGGGAGAAGGAATGCCATGTGAGGACAAAGGCAGAGACTGGAGTTATGTAGCCACAAGCCAAGGATGGTCGGAAAATCACCAGAAGCTAGGAAGAGGCAAAGAAAGATTCCCCTGCAGATTTCAGAGGGAGCATGGCCCTGGTGACACTTCGATTTCAGACTTGTGGACTCCAGAACTATGAGACAACACATTTCTGTTGTTTCAAGCCACTCGGTGTATGGTACTTAGTTACTGCCACCCTAGGAAATCAGTACAGTGAGTTTGGGGTGATTGTTACATTTTTGAGCAGGGAGATCAGGAAAGATCTCACTGAAAGGGTAGTGTCTCAGGGAAGATTTGAGGTACAGAAGACAGCCATGATGATGGCTCTGGATGAAAAAATTCTAGGCAGAGGGAGCAGAAAGTACAAAGGTCTCAGGCAGGTGCACGTTGATGTGTCAGAACAGCAGGGAGGCCAGTGTGGCTGGAATTGCCAGGGGAGAGTGGCAGAAAACCAGGTCAGAGTGGTGACAGGGAGCTGGAGGGTGCTGGACCTCATGGGCCACTCTAAGAACTTAGGTTTTGACTTGGGGCAAGGTAGGAAGCCATTGCCTTGTACTAAGCAGAGGCGAACTAAGACCTGACTTACATTTTAATACGCTTTCTCTGGCTATTTGGTAAGAATAAACCAAAGAGAAAGGGCATTTTGAAGGCTCCTGCAGGTATCCTGGCAAAGGTGCTAGCCAGGTGGCACACAGGATAGTGGAAATAGGTCAGTCCCATGCTGAATATTTTGAAAGCAGATCCAAAAGGATTTGCAATAGATTGAAGGTAGAGATATGCCTGACTTCTTGATACTACATAGAATTAAATTAGAAACCATAACAATTTAACTTTACTGATCATCCGAAGAAGTTATCTTCTCAAATGCCAGATCAGCCAAAGATATTAGCAACACATTTAACAGAAAGGGAATAAGTAACCAGAATATATAAGGAAAACAAGAAATAATGAACCCAGGACATTGAACCATGGACAATGAACCATGGACATAAGAACCATGGAGATGAACCATGGACATAAGAAAAAAAGTTCAACCTCACTGATATGGTTTTACAACTTGAATTGTAACTCCCACAATTCCACGTGCCATGGGAGGAACCTGGTGGGAGGTAATTAAACCAAGGGGGTGAGTCTTTCCTGTGCTGTTCTCGATCTGATGGTTTTAAAAACAGGAGTTTCCCTGCACTAGCTCTCTCTTTGCCCGCTGCCAACCACGTAAGATGTGACTTGCTCTTCCTTGCCTTCTGCCATGACTGTGAGGCCTCCCCAGCCATGTGGAACTGTAAGTCCATTAAACCTATTTCTTTTGTAAATTGCCCAGTCTCCAGTATGTCTTTATCAGCAGCATGAAAACAGACAAATACACTCACTAAACATGAGGAAAATGCAAATGAAAACAATGGGATTCTACTTTCTTTCTATCAGATTAGTTAGTATGAAAAAGCTGACAAAATTCAGTGTTGTCCAAGATGCTAGAAAAAATAGCATATTATGCTAGTTTACTTCTGGCAGAATCATGAATTGATATATTATTTTATTGAGCAATTTTACTGTATTGTCAGAAGTGACAGTACACATATGCCATGGCATACTGACTCTTCTTGGGGGATATACCAGGGTTAAAAAACACACATATAAGGAGACATATGCTAAAATGATTATTGCGGCACTTTTTTCAGTATAACAAAACTTGAAAATGACCTAAAAGTCACCCTTAAAGGGAAATGGGTAAATAAAATATGCTATATTTCAATGATTAAAGGATATACGGCGGTTAAAAAGGATAGATTGGTTTTATAGGTATTAGTGTGAATGCTTCATACATGTCATATGCAGAAAAGCAACACAAAGGAAAATGTTAAACATATAAACCCAATAGTAGGTATTCATCATAGACTGGGGTCCCCAACCCCCAGGTGGCAGACCAGTACCACTCTGTGGCCTGTTAGGAACGGGGCCACACAGCAGGAGATGAGTGGTGGGCAAGGAAGCATTACCGCCTGAGCTCTGCCTCCTGTCATATCAGCAGTGACATTATGTTCTCATAGGAGCAGGAGCCCTATTGTGAGCTGTGCGTTCGAGGGATCTAGGCTGCATACTCCTTATGATGAGACTCTAACACCTGATGATCTGAAGTGGAACAGTTTCATCCCAAAACCATACCCCCACTACCCATCCAAGGAAAAATTGTTTTCCACAAAACCAGTCCCTGGTGCCAAAAAAGGTTGGGGGCTGCTGTTGTGGATACACATATATGTATGTAAAAGTATAAACAATTGACTAGTCAAATACATCCCAAATTTATGGTAGCGAATTTTGGGCAGGGAGTACAGACAGCAAAGAAAGTGGAGGGTAGAGGGAAGGGCAGGACATTATTGTTGGAAATGAACTTGGTTTTACGATAACTTTTTTAAAGAGGAAAAAACAACACTGGAAGCAAATCTGACCAAACGAGATACTCATTTTGGGATAGTGAGAGTACGTGATACTACTTTTTCTGCTCATCTGTACTTGTTTGTTTTCTAGGAGTAAAGGAAGGAGGGAAGGGAGGAAGGGAGGAAGGAAGGAAGGGAGGGAGGGAGGGAAGAAGGAAGGAGGAAGGAAGGAGGAAGGAAGGAAGGAAGGAAGGAAGGAAGGAAGGAAGGAAGGAAGGAAGGAAATAAATTACCAGTTCTGGACTACACTTAAGCTTATCGTAGATGAGGTTAGATCTTTAAGAATGAAGCTCAAAACTATGTTTTAATAATCAGTGAGACCATTGGTGATTCCTCCCAAACTGTCTCAGTGCGGAGGGCTGAGTTTCAGTTCAGCCAGCAGAGGGAACCATCTGTCATTTGGAATGATGAACAACACTAGAACACCACAAGCAGCCATGTCTACACCACATCCCCGCTGTCCCTGGAACCACCAACACTGCAGGACACGGGAACACACATTTACAGACGAAGTAAACCAAGAGTCCACCATGGACATCTTTTCAACCTTTTTTAAAGCGCATTACAATTTTCTAGAATCAAGGGAACAATATGCTTGATTAGTTCTTCAGCAGATGTGGCAATTCTGCTTTTCATGCTCCTCTCCTTAAAGCAAGTTGGTCATTAACCCTCCGTGTTCTAGGACTTGAAAAAAGAGTTCACTTCAGGATAATTCAGTTTTGCTGCTGATAACTGAAAGATCCTCTTTGAGCCAAGGAGGTCATTCTTTAAAGGGACTAGAATTGTGAAGAATATTCCTTTTCTTCCTGGAGAGAGAGTCTGTGAAGGAAAAACAGCTTGCAGGAAAGTTCAGCAATCATGAATTGAAAGCCCAAACTGACCTGAATGCTCCCTCCTGGGTCAATATTGTATGTTTAAAAAGAAACAACCATGCCTTTGAAGAAAAATCTGGCCATTCCCAAATCTTCATACATGAAACTAGAAGGCAGGAGACACCAGTGAGATACTGGATTTGCTTTCACTGCTTGGCCTCCATCACAGT